ATTCAATTTTACTAATCCATACTAATATTAACTTAAAAATATTAAGGCAAACAATCTTTTGAAACCAATGCATCAGAATTCCAGGCAATATTTAATTTCTTTTTCTTTTGTGTGTATAGTGTGTGCAGAGCATGCGTGTGTGCGCGCAAATGTGTGCATCTGCGTATGTGCATGTGTAGGTGGAGGAAGACATCAGGAACCTTATTTCTTTAAGGCAAGAGTCTCTGACAACACTGGAAACTTGCTGTTCCAGCTGCAATAGCTGGCCAGCATGCTCCTGGGACCTGCAGGATTCTGCACCCCAACAATGATTACAGGCATGCAAATCCATGCCTAGCTCCTTACAGTGTTTCATTTCTTGGGAAATCTGGTCCTTATGTCCACAGAGCAAATGTTCTTCCACACTGAGCCATCTCTTCAGCTCCATGGTTTTATTATTACTACTACTATCATCATCATCATATCATCACCATCATCATCAATCATCATCTTCATTATCATCGTCATCATCATATCATTATCATCACCATCATCATCCCTGATAGTCTTACTAGGTAGACCAGGCGGGCCGCAAACTCACAGAGGTCTGCTGTCCTCTGCCTCCTAAATGCTGGAACTGAAAATGTGAATCATAATGCCCAGCTCCATGGTTTTATTTTAAATTAAGAAAAGATATTGCTCATTTTATTAGAAATATTCATCTCGATTATATGGATCTTCATTATTTATAGGTTAAATGACAGTTTTATCTATTTGATCCACTGACAGTTGTCTTTTCCCACAATGGAAACATTTATTTATGTGTGTCTTCATGAGCACAGAGTCGTAAGTTCAGACTAAATTACTATTCACATGTGAGATGCTGCTGTGTAACACTGAAGAGGAATGACATGACTTCAGATGTGGAGTTTTCTCGTAAGCCACAGGAAGTGCCTACTCTTTGCCATCACAATTCTAAAAGCTAAAACATAGTGAATGAACTTATAGTTTTATTCCCCATCGTAGAAAGACTCAAAAGCATTTTATATAAAGAATACGTAGCCTCCCTGGAGTTGTGAGTAGCAGTCTAGTTATCTTTGTTTTACATCTAGTATCCTCCTATGAATGAGTACCTACCATGTTTGTCTTTCTCAGTCTGGGTTACCTCACTCAGGATGATTTTTCTAGATCCATCCATTTGCCTGCAAACCGTATGATGTCATTGTTTTTCTCTGCTGAGTAGCACTCATTGTGTATATGTACCACATTTTATTTATCCATTCTTCAGTTGAAGGGCATCTAGGTTGTTTCCGGGTTCTGGCTATTACAAATAACTTAAGCAACAGAACATAGCTGAGCAAGTGCCCTTGTGGTATTATTGAGCATTCCTTTGGTATATGCCCAAGACTGATATAGCTGGATCTTGGGGGAGATTGATTCCCAATTTCCTAAGAAAGCACCATATTGATTTCCAAAGTGGTTGTACAAGCTTGCATTCCCACCAGCAGTGGAGGAGACCCCAAGAAAGACACAGGGATCACCCAATGACAGAGAAATGGATGAGATCTACATGAACAACCTGTACGTGAGTGGGGGTAATGAAGGGCAAGGGTCGAGGGAAAGAGAGCTTAGGGGAGCGGGAGATCCCAGCTGGATCAAGAACAGAGAGGGAGAACAAGGAATAAGAGACCATGATAAATGAAGACCACATGAGAATAGGAAGAAGCAAAGTGCTAGAGAGGTCCACAGAAATCCACAAAGATACCTCCACAATAGACTGCTGGCAATGGCCAAGAGACAGCCCGAACTGACCTACTGTGGTGATGGGATGGCCAAACACCCTAATAGTCGTGCTAGAAACCTCATCCAATGACTGAGGGAAACAGATGCAGAGATCCATAGCCAGGTGGAGCTCCAGGAGTCCAATTGGTGAGAGAGAAGGGGGTTTGTATGAGCAAGAATTGTTGAGACCAAGTTTGGGTAAAGCACAGGGACAAATAGCCAAACGAATGGAAACACATGAACTATGAACCAATAGCTGAGGAGCCCCCAACTGGATCAGGCCCTCTGAATAGGTGAGACAATTGATTAGCTTGATCTGTTTGGGAGGTCCCCAGGCAGTGGGACCAGGTCCTGTGCTCAGTGCATGTGCTGGCTGTGTGGAACCTGGGGCCTATGCAGGGACACTTTGCTCAGCCTGGGAGGAGGGGACTGGACTGCCTGGACTGAATCTACCAAGTTGAACTCAATCCCCAGGGGAGTCTTTGCCATGGAGGAGATGGGAATGGGGGATAGCCTGGGGGAAAGATGGGAGTGGGGTGAGAGGGAGTGGGAGGGAGTGGGGAGAACAAGGGAATCCATGGCTGATATGTAAAATTAAATTATAAAATAAAAGCCGGGCGGTGGTGGCGCACGCCTTTAATCCCAGCACTCGGGAGGCAGAGGCAGGCGAATCTCTGTGAGTTC